TCTCTCCGTAACCTGTTCCAGTGTTTTACTACCCTCTTAGAGAGAAAATTCTTCCTAATATCTAACATAAGCTTCCCTTGCTGCAACTTGAGACGTTGCTCCTGATTCTGCCATCTGCCACCACTGAGAACTGTCTAGCTGCATCCTCTTTCAAACCCCACTTCAGGTAGCTGAAGACTGCTATTAAGTCTCCTCTCAGTCTTCTCTTCTGTAGACTAAATAAGCTAATTTCTCTCAGTCTTTCCTCCTAAGTCATACCCCCCCAGCCCACTGACCATACTTTTACTCCCAGATTCATGACTTTGTTAAAAATACTTGTTACAGGACCTGTTGTCTCATTTACAGTTCTTTCAGAATTCTGGGTTTTAAATCATTCCTTCTCTCGCATTATCCATCCTGTATTTGTCTCCCTAAATCAGTATGATCATCCTTGAAATCTGAGGCAAGGATTCATTTAGTTTTGGGTCATATCTAAATTAGTTTTAATTTCTACTTTATCCATGCTGTGGAGTGGCCCCAGTTCATTTATCCTTGTTCTCTTTTTATTTATGATAGAAGAATCTTTGGCTATTTGTATTAATGTCTTTTACCAGATCTAACTCAATCTGATATTTGACAGTTTTCTCTTCATCCATATGGTCCTTGACCTCTAAAATATGCCTGCCTTTACTGATCAGACCTGTTTCTTTTCCCATTCCTAGACAGCTAATGAGTTTTTTGAAGTGGTTATCCATTCAGTTAGCAGTGGAGCCCTTCCAACAAATTTTTCCCCCTTCGTTTGACATAAAGCCATAGACAGTTTTAGTAACTTAAAAAAATTCCAGGCACCTTCTCCACACTCAAGTCCCGTAGCTTGTTTGTTCACTAGACTTCATTAACTAGTTCCCTTAAGTTATCAAAGTTTATCCTTTTGAAATAAAAGCCTTTAGCTACAGTTCTATTTTTTTATTCTGACATTTAATTTAAACAAAACCAATTGCTGATCATATGATCCAAGGTAATTTTTATATGACCAACTCTTTTCTAATGTTCTTATTGCTTGTCAAAACCATGGATGAACTAATGTCTCTTTTTGTTGGTTCAGTGACACTGGTGGGGAAAAAAAAAACACCTGTTCACTTGCATCCAAGAATATCTGGATCTTTGTTCTCCACTCAGTATCTGGGAAGTTAATTTCCCATAATGAATTAATTTATGAGAGCTTTTCTTACTCTAACAGCATAACAGAGATTTCTGCCCATATTCAAATACGACACTGCAAGTTTACCCGCTAGACAGAATCTTTCTAATCAACATTTTCCAAAGTCATTTTGACCCAAACAAATTCTGTTTTATCCAAGCCATCCTGTTTTCTTTCTTTACAGTGGTGGTTCTCAACTTCTTTAGATTCAAGGGACCACCTCATTAGACCCAAGGCACCCCTCAGAAAATGGCAGCTCTTTGTTGCCACTTGTTTTTTGTGAACAGAAAAATAATAGTGCAATTATTCTGTTGCAGAGAACTCAGGAAGACTACATAAGATCAGAATATTTTTAACATTATCAATTCCTTTTTCTAAATCTCTGGGTTTATCTTGTAAATTGTGTCTGCACTCCTAAGAGTGCTAATTGCATGGCAAACCACATCATCCTTAAAAGGATCTCAAGGCACCCAGGGTGCTGTGGCACCCTAGTTGAGAATCACTGCTTTACAGTCTATCACATCATTGTCAAAAGATGCTACCTCACTACTTCTCCTATATTTCTGCTTCCTGAACAGCACGTATCCTTCAATACCAGTCCTGACTGCCATTCCATCATGGTTCTGCTATCTCTGTAATACATGGTTGCATGTTCTGCACCAGTAGTTCAAGTTCCTCCATTTTCTCTCCCAGGCTCCTCACATTAAAATGCAAACTGTAAAGGGTGAATAGGGTGGAGGCAGTCAAAGCTGATCTCTCTAGGTCAGGTGTTTACCAGAGTGGAGGCCAAGTTCAAGGGCCAGGTATCAGTGCTACTATTAGACAGCAAGCCAAGGGTTGAGACAAGAGGAGTTAATCCAAGCCAGGAGGTCCAAGAAAGATACAAGCAATCAGGAAGAGGCAAAAGAGTCAAAGCCAAAGGTTCACAGCACAGAGTCAGAATTAGAACTTCCAAGCAGGCCAGAAGCACAACAAAGTGGTCTGTTGCCAAGACATTGCTGTCTGGGCAAAGCTTAAAATAGGCCAAGTTGGGTAGGGCCCTCTTACCCTCTTTCTGAGGGATGACTAGGCCCTATTGCCTCATAACTTCCAGCTGGGCTTAGGATTGGATGTGTCCCAACTGAGTTTCAGCTCATGACATCATCCCCTCCTCTTGGAACATGCTCTGGGTGACTGAAGCCAAACTCTTCCAAGTATGTGCAGTGGAAGGCTTAGACCAACTCAGGGTGTGCACATTCTTGGCTGGTTCCATGAACAGTCTGCTGGTCCCAGGGGCAGATCCATGATTTTGCAAAAGGGAGTCCAAGATCAACAACAAATACTGCAGAGGTGGCTGCACTCCCTGCACCAAGCCTCCTCCCCACAACTGGTGCAGGCAGACCACACCATGAAAATGGGAACTGGGGACGTGTAAGACCCAAAGCTTGTAAGAATCCATTCCCCTTCCCCTCTGTGAGGGATGCTCCAGGCCTGTTCCTGCCTGCTCAAATTAGGCTGCACAAAGGCCAGGCTCAGCTGGGCACAGCAGCAGCAGTGATAGGTGGGCAATTCCCCCTCCCCACTCTGACTCCCAAGAGGACAGGGCAGGGACGGAGAACCCTCCCTCCCCCTGCCACCACTGCCACTGTCCCCCAGCAGCGCCCAGCCCTTGCCCTAGCTGGACTGGGCAGGAATGGCTTTGCGGCTTCTCTTACCCCCAGGACAGCATGGAGAACAGCAGCAGCAAGCAGGAGAAAGGGGGAAGGGGAAGAGAGGGAGGGTCTCTGAGCATAGAAGGGAAGGGAGAGGGATTCTTGCTTGTTTGGGGGACTTAAAGTCACTGGCTGTTGCTCCCAAGGTGTGGTTCAATCTGAAATGGGGGTGCAGTCATGCCACTGAACCCCCTTTAGATCTGCCCTTGCCAATCAACAAGAAAGGAGTTTACCTCTTGCCTTTTTACTGTCAAGGACTTCATTAACAATATACTCCCCTTGCCTTGGACTAAAACTGAAAAGCATTTGTAGATGATTTTGAAGGCCCTCCTGGATCTTTGGCATGTGGCATACTAGCTCTGCTGAGGTGGGGACAGTGAGATGATGAGCAGGATCAGGTGAAAGCAGAGATGGAATCCATAGAAAGGACCATGCTGTGGGGAATTACGATCTGAGTTCTTACAGGCAAACTCAGCCAATGGCAGGAGGAAGACCCAATTATCTCACTTAATCTGTCTGTTGGACCCTGAGTAATAGGTTGACAAGACATGTAGCTCCACCTTTAGAAGTCAGGAATGGGATATAAGTTGGAGCTGTTGGCTTACAGGCATCCCATGGAGCTGGAAGATGTTTCTTAGAAATAGTGGGAACATCATAGCAGGGGATGAATAGTCCACCTTGGTTAGTGAATCTCTACCCCGATAGTGTTCCATTCAGGTCTAAAGTCCTGGTTGAGTTGAGGCCCTAAACTCAGCACAGTGGGTGCAACTGTCCAGAAGAGGGTTTTGGTTGAGGGAGGACAAAAAGAACTCCAGTAAGTCTCTTTCCCTCGAACCACATACAAAGTTTGTATGATCCAAGATCGTGGGCAGATTCTGTGGGCTGGTATTTATGTATTCATCCTTTCTGGATAAAACATCAGTCTTGCCATCGTGAATTCTGGATCTGTAGGTAATTAACAAAATTATATCTGGAAAAAAAAACCCAAAAAGACCTGGGGGCTTGTTACTGGTTGGGATTCCTTGCTGAGCAGAAATACTGTAGGTTCTTGTGGTCAGTCACAACCTGTATTGGGTGTCAGGATACCTCCAAATGATGGCATCATTTTACAAAGGCCTTCTTTATGGCCAGCAGTTCCTCATTCCCAGTTTCATAGTTAACTTTGGCAGAGGTCATCTTCTAGGAATAGAAGGTGGATGGCCTCATAGCCCCCTGACACTGGGACATGTTCTGTTCCAACCATGAAGTAGAAGCATCTGCCTCCATTATGAAAGGAACAACCAGATCTGGGTGTGCCAAGACAGATGTAGAGGTAAAGGCCAACTTCAGGGAGTCAAGTGTGAATTGAGCTTTCTAGGACCATTGGAACAAGACCCCCTTTTTGAGGAGTATGTTCTAAGGGCTACCACTTTGGAGAAATTCCAGAAGAAACCTTGGTAGAAGTTACCAAAGCCCAATAATCATGGGCTCCCCATACATCTCTTGGAGAAGCCTGGTACGGCCCCCTTAGATCCAACTTTGTGAAGACACACACTTGCCCCAGTCTTTCAAACAGTTCATTAAGAAGGGGAGTGCATACTGGTTCTCATGAGTACAGCCAGTACTTTGTAAAGTGGGGGGAGGGTGAAGGAGCAGTGATCAACGCAGCAGGCGGCACCCCCACTCCCAGGTTCCCTCCCCTGACTGAGGCAGACAGACCATACCACAGAAACATCAGCCAGGGACATTTAGAAGACCACAAATCAGGTAAGAACCTCCCACCCCACTCTCTTTATTGCTCACTGGCTGAGCTGTAGTGTTTCCATGCAGAGGGGCTTGGAGCAGGCCATGTGATGGCTCTTCATGGTACTAGATAGGCATGACCAGACTAAATCAAGCTGAACTGTAGCAACTCACTGTGGTCTTGGAAGGTGACTTGGAAAGAAGCAGTTTCAAGGATAATTGGGCTTGAAATGAGCAGTGAACCATCTATCGTCACTAGGTTAGAAGTTTACCAGAGTAATTCAGATTTTCATATACTTTAAAAGATAATAAAAAATACTACAAAAATGAAAATAGTCCAAATATTTACAAAGATATAATATCAAGTCACCCTTGTGACAGCAAATAATTAAATATATTTAACTTACCTTTTTATTAATCAGTTCTATTATTCTGATTATAAAATAATCTAGGATCTGGTAATCATCCAGCCTCAGGTGGAATTGAGCCAGGTCCATAGAGACACATGTAGGTTCAGGCCAGTATTGATGACATTTGATCTTTCCAAGTTCCACTTCTTTTGTCATCATGGCAATCACATCTGATTGGTTCTCCCAAATCATCTGCCAGAAATCAGCTATGGTGGAAGGCAGAGGCCCTTGGGTTATAATATAAAAATGCTCCTCTTGTCCAACAGGAATTCTGATGTAACTTGCATTAATATAAGCCTTGTTTTCTCCCAGAGGTACTCGTGTCTTATCATCTGAAGCAGAAACAAAAAGTATTGCTGAAACCTTGTCATGTCAGCAGAAAATCTGAAGCCATGTTCCTGTATATCTATAATTGAAGGAAACCTAAACATCTGGCAACTGAAGGTTACCTCAGTGGTATCTAGGATGCAGATGTGTTTGGCTAGCCAAGTGGCACTAATATCCATACTAACTAATAGGCAGTTTCTGCAAACATATCGTGTGAGTCATCCCTTTAGTCTAGGACTTATATTGGGATTTCTGACAAATCTTATAACTATTACAGAATCCTGTGGTAGTAGCCTGATATACTGCAGCTCACACTAGTATTCTATAGTAGTGATCTACTTCCCTACAATAATACTTGTTTGTATAACATTAGAACTTTAAAAATGTGGACTATTTCACTATTTTACATAGCAGTGCAGTGCTACAAATCCTGTTTCTGGTCCTAACATAGACAATTACAAAGATTTATATGAATAAATGTAAGCTTTGCTTCTTTCATAGTGAGTCTCTTCAGATTTATTAACAGAGTAGATCTGTACTTCAGTGGATGTGTCTACAAAAAATGCTTTACTACACAGCAGACTAATCTACTGTGCAGTAAAGTGTCACCATCTACATGTGCACACCATTTACCATGCAGTAAATTAGTCTAATGTGCAGTTAGCTAATTGTGCAATAGATACTGTGCAGTAGTTTTTGTGTAGACACTGACTGGGAGCAAATTTGCTTCTAGTCAGCCACAACACCAGGGGGCCACAGGGGATGAAGAACTTCCCTGGTTCTGGTACTGATCAACTCCCAGTTCTCCACAGGAGCTAGGATCCAAGTAGCACTGGGACTAAGGAGCTCTCTGCTTCCCCACACAACTGGAGGCTAGCCAGGAGCTGTCCCATTTCTGGGGTAACTCCCAGCCAGCCCCCAGCTGCTTGGGGAAATTCCTGCCCAGCCTGGGGCTGGCTAGGAGCTGCCCCAGAAGTGGGACAGCTCCCAGCCAGCCCCTGGCTGTGCATGGAAGCCCCACTGAGCATGAGGCTCATCCCTATGTGCACAGGGCAGGGAGAGCTCTGCAGTGGCAACTGTCTCCCAGACCTATGCACAATCAGGACCTCTCCTGAAGTGTACAGGGCAAGGAGACAGCTGCTGCTACATACAGCTGGTAGAGCTATCCTGGCCCCATGTGCATGGGGATCCATGCTCCCTGCCTGCCCCTAGGCTAGCACCCTGAGGAAGCATGGAGCTCCCCCTGGCTGCTGCAGGGGGCCAGAGCAGGGTAGAAGCAGCCCTGTACTGGGCAGCTCCCATTGGGAGTAAATTTGCTCCCAACAGGGAGCATGGATAGACGTGCTCCCAGGGAAGGATTACTGTGCAGTACTTTACAGTGCAGTAAGCCTTTATAGTATTAACAGTACTTATAGACATGCCCAGTGATCTGTGTTAATACTAATCATTCAGTTCTAAGATTCAAATCCTCATTCCTAAAACTAATTTACTGGTGGAAAAGCTTTAAACTCTTATTTAGAATGCTCAGCTAAGATTTGATGTTAAGGACCAGATCAGACACTATTTTCTGAGAACATGGGAAAGGATCTTGGACATTTTCTAGTAACACAATGATCCTAGGAGAGAAGTCTATTGTATCATTGCAGGGGCCAACTGATTATCTGTAAGGAGCTACCATTACAGAAATACCACCCATCCCACTCTGCAGTTACTCCTGCAGAAAGTTTCACCCACTCCTGATTTGTAGGGTTGATGCCTGGGAGGCTATAGAGTAGACGATTCCCTTGCTCCTAGTCCCAAAACACCCAGCCTAGGAGAAGAGAAGGGACTCATTGTATAACCAGGATCCATAGTAATAATGAAAGACTTAATCATATGCATACTTCCCATAAATCCTACTTAACTGCCCTCTAACAAAACTTCATATATTCTACTGTTTTGGACTCATCCATGACCAGAAGCAGTTGAGGTTATTTCTGTAACTCAGTCTGATAGCCATGTTCCATAGTTCCCAAATATTCTTCCAGTGGCTGTATGTTTAAACCACCTAATAATGTACTTGCTTACATGGAAGGATATCTCGGTATCTATTTTTCTCTCTGTTCTCTGGTGCTTTCCCAACTTTGCAGTCATCAAGTGGTTTAATGTGTTCTAGAGCCTAAATCAAAGGAAAATAGTTATGTTATGCTATTTTCTGTCTCCAAAGAAGCTGCAGAGCTACTGTTAGTAACCACCATCAATGTATGTAACCCACAGCTAGAAAACAGCATTCTGCCTGCAATGCAACAAGCATACCATGCTCTAGACCAGGGGTTAGCAACCTATGACCCACAGGCTGGATCCAGCCTGCAAAAATCTGACTCATTCCACATTTTACTAAAGGCATATCGATTTCCCCAGCCATTTGATCCAGTCCATGTTTTGCTAATGGCACACCTATCACCAATGTTACGGCTAGCTGCTCTTCCTCGCTGGAACTTCTGCTCATAGTTGCTGGAGTGGCTGGAGAGGAATGCTGGGCTGGCCAAGTTACAAGCTGCAGCCTGGGTTTGCAAAAGGTTGCCAACCCCTGCTTTAGACTTATCAGGGAATATGAAGACCCAAATCCAAAACACTTGAATTACCCATGAAAAACCAAGGTCTAAAGCATGTTTCACTAATTTGCCATTAAGTTGGTGATGGGAGTGTCAATTCTGGTGTTTGAGACACATTCTAGCACTGGTAATTAACAGGAACAGTTTGGGATGTTGCTTGTGTAATCCTGATATAGGATTACACAAGCAACATCCCAAACTGTTCCTGTTAATTTCTGCTGAATTTCAGTGCTGAATTTCAGTGATGAGGGGTGGAAAAAATGTATATTTGCATATTGTAATGTGCAAGTTAGTGTAAATTACATGGTTTAAACATAGGTCTGAAGGGATCTAATTCTGCACACCACACACTAGGGAAGATAGGTGTATACATCACAGTTGTTTCACATCCCCTCGTATTTAGATGCTTTTCCTGCTCTTCATCTTTTTTTGACCGTTTGGTATGCATTGCACCAGCTTACATTTCACCATGAATCTTCTCAATGATATGGACATTAAATTGACTCTGGCCCACAGTCTGTAATGTAATGCTTTAGCATGGAAGTAGTCACATCCTGGTAAATTACTTCTTCAGCCTAATACAGTAAAAATAGATACTAAGTTTGAATGAAGGATCAGATGCAGAGAGCTCCAATTTTCTTTGGCATCCTTGGTGAGGAGACCTCTGTGATTCAAATTACAGCTTTCCCTCAATTTATGCAGTAGATGCGTTCCCAGGAAATGGTGCATAAATCAAATTCACATAAAGTGAACCCAGTTTACAGTGAAACAGGTAGGGATGCATTCCCAGGGCAGTGAGGGAGGGAATGGGGCTGGGGCTGGGGCTGGGGCTGGGGCTGGGGCTGGGGCTGGGCAGGGAGAGGAGTGTGGTGCAGCCCAGTGGCTGCAAGCAGGCGGCATCTGCTGTTCCCAGGGCTGCAGCAGGGGCAGCACCAGGCTCTTCATGGCACTTGGGGTGAGTGACAGCCGCACTCACCCCACTTCAGGGCCGGGCCCCACTCACCCACCCCTGAAGAGCCTGGTGCTGCCACTGGCCCGAGTCTGCAGTGGCCACTGGCCCCAGTCTGCTCTCAACCAGCTGCAGGTGGCTGCCCGCCCCTGCTGCAGCTGCTCTGTGAGCAGCCAATATAAACGGCTTGCAGCTCCTGGGTTGCGCCATGCCCCAAACCCCCCAGGGCTCCACTTCCCCCGGACACCATGCCCCAAACCCCCTGACACAATGCAGCCCAGTAGCTGCAAGCAGGCAGCATCCACCACTCCCAGGGCTGCAGTAGGGTGGGCAGCCACCTGCAGCTGGACAAGAGCAGGCTGGGGCCACCCTTTCCCCTTCCCTCACAAACTCAACTTACCTACTTGGGGAAGGGCAGAGCATGCCTGTGCCAATTGCATAACGTCAGCCTATGCTGATCACATATATGCGAATTTACCTCGTGTATAACCAATTTCAGATACAAAAGGGTCATTGCATATGAGTGAATTTGTATAAATCGAACCCACATAAATCAAGAGAAACCTGTATAGTATCTAACAGTTGCTAGACTCAGTGATACACTTCTGTCTTGATCAGTAATAGGCAATGCATCAGATATCAAGCCTTTGGACTTTAGGAAGGGTAAACAAATACCAGACCTTGTGTCCACTGGAATTTGTAATTGGAAGGTCTAGGATGAAACAAGGGATAGAAGGAACATATTAACATGCAGAATAGGAATTACCATTTACGACCAGAAGCATCTAGTCTACTGTTCAGTACCAGATGCTTCAGGGCAAGGTGCAGCCTTATAAGAAACAATTATAAAATAGCCCACCCACAGGCAATTGGTTTTTTGTCCCTGTTGGTGAGTATTTGCAGGAGAGTTTCTGCCCTTTTATAGAGTTAACTCTATTTGATGCACTTATGCGTGTTTCATCAGGTTCCTTTTGAGTATTACAAAGTTCTTAGCTTCAATTATATCTTATGCCCATGAGTCCCATGGTGCAGTGTATTAAAGTAGTTCTTCTAATCAGCTTCCCATCTAAGTACCTAACAGCACTAGAGATGCTACCTCTGGAATGTATTTTAAGGAATAGCTCAGGAGAGCTGAGGGGGCTCTGCAGAAAAGTTAATCTGCCAAGGTTGATTCCTGGGGGCATGGAATGGGGGAAAATATCCATATTCCCCCTGTCTGGGCAGGGAAATAGAGTCCTGCCTGCATGCAAAGAGGGAGATGTTTATTTAATACTTCCTCTCTGTATAGATCTGAAGACTTGCTGTAGCTGGGAGCAACTCCCTATCACTGTGGCATCAGTAAGGACCATCTCTGGCTATGGCATGTGGAGAGACGCTAGAGCTTAAGAGAGATACCAACAACTTTATGCCCCAGCTGTGCCAAACACTTAAGCCTATGTACTTGTGCATCTCACCAAAAATTCCTTTAAGATGTCCTGCTTCTCAATCTGCTGCTGAAGGGCTCGAATCAGATTTTTCATGCCAGTCCTCAGACCTACCCCAGTTGGCACTGGTTTAATGTAAGTCAACTCAGTCAGTTCATCTTCAGACACAAGGATGCTACCTATAGATTGGTTAAAAAAAGGGGATGTGTTCACCACTGATTTTTAATATTGTAATTCAGTATACACATGCAGCAAGCTTTCTAGAGGTTGGATTACTATCTTGTTAAGAATGTGGTTCCAAATACCATCAGATTGCTTGTGGGAGACAGCCTGACCCAGATGCTATGGCCATTGCCACGTGCAGGTTCTATATGCAGCCCAGACTAAGTAAGATGTTACTACAGAACTATATTCATAATGCCTACAGGGCAAAAGTCTCTGGCTACATCTTCACTGTAGCTCAATTGCATTCCCACAGTGGGTTCCTATAATTAATCTTGTCCTTTTCCTACTGCTAGGAAACACATGTAAATCACTCGCATCCCTCCTGTCAGGACCCATTTCCTGTTGCCCTCATTCTACCTTTGTAATTTGCTGCTATTAAAAGGCCATCAGTAAATCACCACTCCACTGGAGAGAGGAAAAGTAGAAAGGAACCTGAACCTCCGAAAGGTGTCTCCTAAATACTCCCTGGGCGTGTCTACACATTGCCTTTAATGCACAATAGCCTATTTTACTGTGCTTTAGAGCGTCACAGCAAAAACCATGCTAATACACTAATGTGCAGTAAAATTAAGCTACTGCATATTAAGCATCACTAAAAAATGTGTGAGCTTTTGCTACTGTGCATTAGGGCAGCCTAATGCACAATTAGTTAATACCTCATTTTAGAGGTCCTAAATTTAATGCACAGTAACAAAAGCATATTAATGAACATGTAAATGCACCGCAGTGACTCAGCTTTCTGACCATCACCCCTTGATCAATAAAGATATCCTTCTCTACGTGAGATGGAAGCAGTTGAACTTCTCATGGGACAAACAGGCAGAGTCCTTCCGTAAGTGCCTTTCAAGCCCTCAGAACAGGGTTCAGCCCTAATCCACCAAAGCATGTGTTAAGTATATGAGTGGGTCTGCTGATTTTAACGAGATTATTCTTGCATAAAATAGGGGATAAACATCCGTGTTTGTAGAAGTAGGGCCTATACAGGCAACCCCCACTTAGTGCTCTTAATTGGTTCTAGAAAAAATGAGTGTTAAACAGAACCTCAGTAAGCAAAACCCATTTCCCCATAGGAATTAATGTAAATAAAAATAATCAGTTACCGCCACTTCTCGCCACCATCGCCGCTTTAGCCACGTACCATCCTGGACCCCATGTTCCTGCTGCCCTGCCCTGGGTCCCACCAGCCCTGGGCCTGGGCACCAGCGTGGGCGTGGGCAACTGGTGCCTCCTGAGTCGGGGGAGGGCACTTGCCCCCTAACTGGACAGTCAGCAACCGGGGGGGGCTCCCCCCGTGGCTAATCCTGCTGACAGAGGAGAGGGTCCCCTTGCGGAAGCTAATCCTGCTGACCCATAACTGGCAGCGGCACACCGCTGGCACTTCCAGGTGCACCACTGGCATTTCTGGGTTGGTGGGATTGGCTGTGGGGACTGCTTCTCCTGGCGCACTTCCCAGCCAGCAGTCTCAGGTGGGGCACCAGCGCTCTCGCCTACCCCGCCTGCACGGGAACACTGGCTGATGGGGTGCACCAGCACTCTCAGAGGGTGCATGTGCACCCCCATGCACCTCCTATGCGTTGCCACTGGGCATGGACCCTGCACTCATGCCTGCGTGCCAACTTGCTGTTTCTTGTCACCACCACCACTGCTGCTTCTCCCCCTCCCCCCTACTCACTGAGTGCTAAGTGGCATGAGGAATGAGGTATTTAAAATGAGCACTGGCTCAGCAAAGCCATGTTATGCGAGAGTTACCTGTAATTAGAATTTGATCCTATTCCTCTTTTCCTTTTGTTTCCTTCTATAATTATGTTTTTGGATCAAGTTTTCTGCATGAATCTAGTCCTCTTTTAATTATAAATCCGCGCCCAAAATGTTTCATTGTGTCATGAGTCAGGGTAGCAGGCAGGATAAATAACCCCCAACTGGCTGTGGTTACCCCAGAGAATGTAGTTGCCAACAGCCTTACTACTTTCAGTTGGCCCTAGCTACTTGCGCGTGTGTGGCTGCCTGCTTATAAGCACAGCCCTTTTGGTGCTCAGCAGACTGCTCAGAAGGGCAGATGCCTCTGATTTCTTGTTCCTGGTTCCTAACTTCCTGGCTCCTGGCTTCTGCCTCCTGACCCCTTTACTCCACAATTGCTGATTCCCAAACCCTCTGCCCATGGACCTCAGGAGATTTTCTGTTCTATCTCAGGAAGTAATCCTGCACTATCACCCCTTC